ATATGAAAAACACAGCCAAAGACACAGAGCAGAGATCACATCCCCTAAACCCAAACAGCACTCAAGATCAGCAAGTTAATTCTATAAAGCTTTAAGATTCAGATTAAAATCATCATCATATGTGTTATTTTCTATCTGCTGTTTCACATATAAGATCCAATGTTTTTACCACCATAAGCATTCTGAAAACTTCAAAATGTTTGCACAAGACATCTGTGTTGCTCATAGATTCATCTGTTGCGGTTGTATTTATTTTTTTTAACACGACAGTGCTCCCATTTTGAGTTCAAAACCAACAGATTAGACGCTTGGTTTCCAGGCTCACCCAAAGCACAGTGTTCCTACTTCAGCACACAGATTCAGCAATAAACTCAAAATACACAGGAAAGCTCCCACCCCTTTACACATACCCATGTCTATGACAGCTCTCAAATACAAGGTATGGGAATGCAGTGTGTTGAACTAAGCAACATTAAGGCCAAAGCACAGGCCTTGATCAGGAATTGAATCAATTCCTTGCCCTTAAGATAAATTACTGAGTGATGGCGAAGACTTCACTTCCGTGTACCCCAGTTTTTAAAGCTGCAAAATGGGAATAACCAGTTAATCTGGCTATATAACCAGGATACATATGTATTTGTAAATGTTATGAACGTACTCAGATTAAATTAAACCTATAAAAAGCAATTTATTTTATTAGCTATATTTTGATGTATTTATATTTCACTTTGATTTCAAAGTAGACATTAACTTTATAAACAGAAATCTCGGCATCTACCTAATAATGCCATGAATAATATTACTTACATAGCAGTTTTAAACTATAGGTGTCAAAGCCAAGAAAAATAATTGAAAATTTTTTTTTAGTGCTCATTATTTTTTGTTTATTTCTCAAGAACCTTGTGAGATAGCCTATGTGTCCTTCACTGTGTTCAGGTACCAGCATGGCAAACCAAGTAGGAACTCGGAGCAGAGAGGTGACTAAAGATCTGTCATTTAAGCTTAGAATAGTCACCTTGTGTTTCCTTCGTACTCAGCAGAAGAAGAAAGGGTACTTCTGGGGGGATGATTTAGTCCACCATAAAATAAATATGTAATGCAGCCTAGATGGAGGCGCTTGTCTGTCTTCGCTGATTATAAAGGAAATGTGGTGTGATGAGCTCAGGCTTGCACAAGTAGCTCTCAAACGTTTTCAGTTACGACAGTGGTTCTTGCAAACTCATATGACAAAGGGCAAAACAGTCTTTTAATTGCTACTGGTTTCTAGCCCACATACATGTAGCTACTTTTTCCTCCAACTTTATACTTTCGTACATTATTGGGTGAAAACTTTCCAGTCAGGTGTTCATTTAATCAGTTGCCCTCTTAGTTGTTTCTTTATTATCAGCCAATGTGACAAAAAAATTTGTTAATCATATCAGAGCTGCATCTGTGTTGACAGGCCTAGATTTGCAAGGACTTGATTTTCCATATACCTTGCACGCGCTCCCACCGCTGTTACCATTCCACATCACTGCAGCTGAGATCAGCTACAGCCTCTTACCTGCACCACAGGATGCTCAGCAGCTCAGTGACCACAATTCAGTCTTGTCATTTGACAAAAATCAGTTCATTTTCAGGTCATGGTGAAAAACATAGCTTTACACTCAAACTTCAGTAAATGTGCTGAGGACAGCTGAAAAAGGATTTTTATCTTATGGAACGTCTAATTTGTTGAGGGGTGTAGCATCTTACATTTTGTGTAATATTTAAACTAGACTAGAATATTTCACTTTTATTCTCTTTTCCTCTTAAGTCCCGAGTTTGCTGAGTTTCATTACACAAAGACATTATTACAAGTACATAAGCATTCCTTAAAAAAAAAAAACCAACCAAAAAAACCACAACACCAACACCCTCCCAGCCCAAATCAACATTAATTTTAGAATTTGCATGTACTTCATACCTTAGTATTCCTAGGGACAGATTCCCTCTATTTCCTGACCGTACTGCTTCAATAACAATGTCATTTTCAATTATAATATTTTTTTCTGGTGCTGACAGTGGAAAGAAAGGAGCAGCCACATGTCATATTTGTATGGCATGATGCCAGCACCATCTCAGGAGATGTAAATCCAATTCTCAATTATCACACGTAATCACTAAGGAAGACAACTCCACGCTCTTCACTCAGCCCTCCCACTTAACATGCAAATCAAAACAAACACACAAAGGGTTGCAATGACAAAAGCCAAGGTTTGCTTCTGTACCGAAACATGTCCCTTGCATGGAAAGGACCAGGCAATACAGCACTTGATGCCCTAGGAGGTTAAGCACCTCGGCTTTCCTATAACCAATTAAAAGTGAATAGCTATAAAAGTGCAGATACTACTGTAGGGTAATAAACCAGACATTATCAGTGACAGTGGTGCACATTACAAACTTCAAACTCATTCCTTGCTCTTATCCATCAGAAACTTCCTGGCTTTAACAGGCTATAAACAGCAGAAGCTTTGAAGTCCAAGGATTAGGATCACTAATAGACAGACTGAACGAGAGACTGACTGGCTGAAGAGCCAAGTGGAATGCCCTGCATGGATCTGGAATAAAACAAGTTAATTTAATCAAACTGACCTCTCTCTAGCCATAGGCCAAGAGATTACAATGGTTATAACAGCAATAAAGGGACAAGGGACACTAGAAACAAAGTTATTTGCTTCAATGCAATGCTTAGGCTAATGTAAGGACAAAACTGCCCATGCTTTCAACTGTGCCCTCAAAATCCACAGTTTTAAGCTCTACAGGCAAAGACTGTTTGTTGTTGTTTTGTTTTTTAACCAGTTTATCACTTAGTGGCAATCAAGGCAGAAAAAATAAAACACTTTAACTTTCAAGATTTCTAAATGCAAGATGAATAGAATACTTTAACAAAATAAGATCATTGCGAGGATATATTTGCTTCAACTCTTCTGTATCTCAGACTCACTTAAGGGAGACATGTAAACAATCCATTTGGGTTAAATCCACCTGCATTCAGTGCACACATAACTGAATATAGCACTGAACATTTTTGCTTATAGAATAAAGCTTCTTACTGTAAAAATTCCCCTTATCATCAATTTATATGCAAAGCTTCTCACCCTAAAGGACTGCAAAACATTTAATAAACCACTAAACTTGAGGTGTTTAGCACAGCAGTATAACAGAACACTCTTAAAATCAAACAATAAAGCTCCTCTGCCTTAAACTGGAGCAAGTTGCCAGAATGGCAAATGAGCCAAGTGAGCGGTAGCAATAGTTTGGCTCTGAGAAGCTGTCAGAAGATGGTAAATTGAGACAAGTGGTCAGGTATTAATTTTTACATTGTTTTTTGCCACTACGCAGAATAGCTAACTCCGAAGCATGGAAAACAGCCTCTGAAAAGAGAATTACAAAGCAGAGTCCTAACAACATGCTTCATTCACTGCAGAAGACGGAAGAATCCACAAGGTTCTGTACCACCAAATACAGTATATTTTTGAACACGTATCCTTCCTCAACATTTACTCTCCCACAAAATCACCACATTTTCAGATGAGAGACAAATTCATGTGTACAGCATATGGGAAACAAACTCATTTACAGCTACTGTATCTACAGTATTTCATCAAGAATGAGGAGGCTTTAATTGCTCAGAACAATGCTCAGGATTTTAGTATTACTGTCTGGAACTTGGAAGCAGCTCATCCTATGAAGCAATAAGCATGGAAACAAAACAAGAGGCGCTGGAGTGGCTGTCTGGCACGGGAGTGGATTACCATAGGCCTAGCCCAGCTACCTTCCTTTACACGGGGTAATGCCTCCTGGCTCTCCCATTTACTCCATGGTGATTTTGTAGAGGAAGTCACCAATGTCAGGACCTATGCTTCCAGATGAGGACCTGGGAGAATAGCAGAGCACTAGGGTCTCACGAGGCAGGCAGCCCAGGGTTGAGGAATAAATGGAACTGGTTGGAGACAGAGCAGCCATGGTGCATACAGTGGTGTTATATGGAAGGGGATGGAGAAACATGGGACTAGGATCTTGGGTTTGAAAACATAGGCAGCAAGCTGTGAGGACTGGGCAGCTTGAGACTGAGGTCCTGGCAGAAGGGGATACAGTAGAGCAGCATGCCAGGCCAGCAACACACACCTCAGCTACTGAAAATCAAATAAATTAATTCAGAGATTAACAGCACTGACTTCACACTGGAGTCATTACTATACTTTTGAAACTAAATCTTCCAAAAATCAACACATTTAAATAATTTGGGAAAAGGCCTGTGAATGCACCCTCATTTTACAAAAACCATGAATTAAAAAATTTAAAAGTATCACACAGACTTCACCAGACTCACTCAGAAAGACTATAAAGAGCAACACAGTATCATATGCATTGGAAACAGAAACATTTAAAAAAGGGTACTTATGCCTTGTCTCACTGGGCTAGCTGTAGCATTTTCACAAGATATTCTAGTAGTGTGGGAACTTCTTTTCAGACACCCAAAATGTCCCAAAAGTTTTCACTTCATCAGTCAAAATATTCATTTATTTTACAGCTCCATGCGTTCAATCTACTTTGCTGCTTTGAACCGCATTTGCCCTAGGAAACAGTCCAGCAGAAGTAGTATTTACTGGGATGAGAGAGTGCCTACAGGGAAATAAAACCAAGCACTGACAAATTAAAGATGGGTTTCTCCTTACCACTCCCCAAAATAAAGACAGAAATGTTTGTGTCACTACTGCATCTGTTACCTTTGATTCAGAAGACAGCAGCACAGCCACTGGTATCCTTTTTTCCTTTTAATCTACTTCGGCTTTTTTAATTTCCCTTTCAAAAATATTGCCATAAAATAAATTCCAAATGTATTATTTTGAAAGTAACCATGAAATACTTTTTAAGACATGTTAAAGAGGCAGAAGAGAGGTTATTCTGTAACAGCTGCAAGTAGGCATGTTACCCCAGTTTCACTCTCCTCCACCACACTTATCATGGGGTCTTACCTTCTGGTGGATTCTTATTCTGGTTGTTCCAAACAACTAACAATTTGGATAGACTAGGCACTTTAGACACCTCCGTGATGACTCGGAAGAGGCTCTCCACCCGGTCATAGGTCAGAACTATGGCTGTGAAACCTTGGGACTGAGGTGGGATCAGTGGAAGGAAGAGTGGGTTGCTCACACTGCTCCATTTCTGTGAAGAAAACCAACAGAACAATTTGATTAAAGTGACTTACCAAAGTAGGAAGTAATTATTACAGTAGGGAGTAATTCACATAGCCAGGACCTAACAGTCAGATTTGGAATTCGCTCAGATCAGGCAGGTTGACTGCCATTCTGGCAACTTCACAAATTTCTCAAAACCTTTATTCCAATCTCATTCTTGATTCAATGTTCATTTTTGCCTAGCTGTAATGTTGCACACGAGGAGTTTTAGGTAAAAAATAAAGTGGAAAAGGCAGAAAGATTTGTGGAGAAGGAAAATCAAGGTGAATTTTGAACCCAGCTAAGCTTGACTCAATTCTCATTTACTAATGTCTATTTCAAGACATTTATATTTACAGTCAGGACTCGATAAACAAAGAGAAACTTAATCAGCAGTAAAATTTCAGAAGCAAAAAAGAGTTAACAACAACAAAGCAGCAAAAGCATAAACCTAGCACAAAACCTAGTACCTAAACAACTAAGAAAAAAGCAGGCACTAAGGGGAATAACGTGCTGGTTTCCACAAAACCGCGTGTGTTCAATGGTGGAAAACCCCCACCTATTACATGTACCAAAAAAAAAAAAAAGTGAGATGCAAAGATGAATTTCAGAGAGATATCTGCTCCTTGTGAATTTTAACTAGGGCATCCCTTTGAAGACTTTAGAGGTCTTTCTTCAATACACTGCCAGCACGAGGACGCCAGGTCAGCTGGCAAAAGACGAGACAACTAAATTCTCACTGAATGTGCCAGCCTCCTTTGGAGCTGACAACGTGTGGGAGGAAGCAGTGAAGGAACTATTCGACAGGAATGAAAACGACGGTATTTCAGCCTCAACTTTTCCATTCCAGCTGATGTTCAAAGCAGGGGTCTGACTGAGAAGCAAGGGAAAAACAAGTCCTTTGGGGATGAGGTGAAAAGGGGAGTTCAGAAAGCAGAAACTGAGCAATGCTGTTTTGCAGGGAAGCCTTGAATCCTAGCCCGTACAAACTATGAACACTCATGAGAGGTTAGTAACTGCCAGCAGTTTACAGAGATACTGCGAGAATCTCCAGCTAAACTCATGCCATAAGCCTGCTTGGTATCAGGAGGAAAGCAAGTTTTACAGACGCAAAGTTATCAGCTCATATTTGCAGGAAATAAACCTAGCAACTTTCCATCTCCTTATTTAGCCTTTGAGTTACTTTATACACCCAACAATCACCCTCCTCATGTTTAGTGGTTAGACGCCTCTAATTAGAGTAACTTCAAGGACGAGGAAAATAAAGAACCTATTTACTAAGATATCAAAACATTCTGACCATTTTGGCAAAGGAGGAAAAAAAAAATTATGTGAATATGATTTCCTTCTATCAAAACATCCACACTAAAGGAGGGATCAACATGTGAGGTGAGAGAGACACACAAAGTTAAGCACAGCATTGGCACACTGTTTTATCCAGGCTGGTCTAAGGGCGTGTTCCAGGCATGGATCTCTAGGAGCAATACACTTTAGTAGACCTCCTGAAATAGCTGGAAAGACAGAGTACTCTTCAGCTACACATACTTTATCAAGTCTGGTATAAGTGGCATTCAATATAAACTGTTTGTGAGGTTCCTAATAGAAAGCATGAAGTTCTGCTTTTTACCCAACAGGAGTAATAGGATAATGAAGGAATAGTAACAGCATAGTATGGAGCTTTGGTTCACGAAAGGGACATGGCTGCCTGTGATAGCAAAGGACTACACTCAGTAATTCAGAAAATAGACCAGTTGCTGAAGTAATGGATATATGTGCAGAGACAAATATGCTTTCAGGTTATTACATTTCCTAAAATTAAAGCTTTCATACATACTTCTAATATTACAAGAAGACTGATGGCAGACAGGGACAGTCCTCTGATTTTGCTCCAGCTTCAATAATTCCTACAGCAAATCACAATCTAAATGTTACAGGAGTATAATCCATCTCATTAAGGCTTTACAGACTCGTTTCCACATAACCCCCACCCCAAGAATGCTATTACCCAAATGACCCTTGTAATGTCGAGCAGCTTCTTAAAACAACTTTCAGAAAACTCTTTTCATTAATACTTGAAGCAGAGGTTTAACATCATATTCCATAGAGTGCCAAGAAAATCTTACGTTTCTGCTCTAGAAGGAGAAATAACTGGTAATCTACGGACAATGCTGTACTTACTACTTACGGGTGAGTATTGCCACCTAAATTAATGGCTCCTACTTGAAGTTTATCTAGCAACTTTTTCTCTCAAACCACAGCACTTCCTAACAAATTACATGCTATAATATCCTTGGAAAAGGATTAATCCTTTTCATCATACAAGACTATTTTAGGTGCTGGCAGAAAAAAAATACAGATGTACGTGTGTGAGCACATGCACACATGCCTATAACAATTATCATGCTTTCTCTTAAAAACCTAAGTTTTAGGTACATGACTTAAATTCCAACTTCTACTACTTTCAGAAAGGCATGAAAATTCTCCCTTGACCGTTACAACTTAGGAAAAATAAAGCAACTTCTGAGGTTATTTTGCTCATGCATCTAGTAAAGTATGACGGAGGCAGGGAAAAGCCCTTAGACACTCACTAATGGATGGGAGAACCAAGCCTCTCATTTGAGAAAAACATTTCAAAAAGGCAATTAAGCATCTCTCAAGTGCCATTAAAAGCTAACCCCCTGCTGCCTGCCTGAAGAGTGTGTCTACAGTCTGAGACCTATTGACCCCACTTTCTGCAGGAAATCGGGCAAATTCAAGCCTCCATAATTTGCTAAAGTCTTCCAGATTTCTGCTTGGAAAAAGCAAACCATATAGGCAATTAATTCAACAGCAATCTAATTAAATCTCCATTACGGCAGCAAAGCATGAAATGGCTAATGATCTAGGGATGGGTTCTCCCAGTCACTGCTCAAGAAACCAAGTGGTGAAGGAACACTTGCTCCTGTCCCGTCCTTATTAACATTCTCGACAGAAATTCAGAGGAACTTTCGCTCTCAGAGAGAAGAACAAACAGCAACAGTGGACTGATCGTCCATCACCTTTCTCTGACAAAGTGCTGACACTTTGCTATGGATAAGACAACCCTTCACTCTTGCCCTCCCAGATTATTATCATTAGAGGAGCTGGGATAATTAATCTAAGATTAATAGGTTGTTTGCTGTGAATCATTTTTATGGGCAAAAAGGATCAAGTTCAAATGCCAGTTTCTGAAGAGTAATCTCATGTCACTTAAGTTTCACAGTCCCAGTTGGCTGACAGCTCTTTGCAGTTCACATGAAAAGCCCAAGTAGTGGGACCTGAATGACAGTGAGAACTTAGGGATAGCCTGAAGCTGGGGAGAAAGGAGAATTCAGGAATGGGTATGTATACAGAGAAGGATTCAGAGCTGCAGCTGTCCTGTGCATCACTTCCACAAATGTGCGTGTGTGATAATGCCTTAGAAATAAGGTACCTTACTTATTTATAGATACATCAAATATTGCTTTCCCTCTTGGTTATTGAAAACAACTTGATTCTACTTTTGGAAAAGTTAATACATTAAGGACAAGGTATCAAGGGAGTTGAATTCTCATTATGGGGGATACTTAAGGTTGTACTCAACGTGGAGTCTTCCGGCTCAAGTTAGCAAAGAAGTTTTAAACAGACTGTTCCTAACAGGATACAGAAGTGAGATAGATGGGAACTTCAGGACATCAACTTCAGAACACAACTGGACTGAGAACTGGCCAATTATTGTAAATGCTACACAGCCTCAAAGGTATTGGCAAAATACCAGATATAACCGAGGGTCCTACCCCAAAACTTTGGATGTACACTGAGTACCACTGAAAGAGACCTGAAGAAAGGCACAGCAGATACATTACAAACTGTTATCACAGAATGGTCTCTAGGAAAACAACGCTGTGGAAGATGTCCCCTATTACAGAAGAGAGTCAAGAACTACCCACCTATCATTTAGTGGGAAAACTCAGTGACAGAACTTCAGAAGAATAAAATTTCACTGCTCCCAGGAACAAGTCAAGACAGTGGGCTTTTCCCCCTCTGTATTTTGTTTTCAACACTAGACTTAGTGCTTGGTCTAATCAACATATTAGTGAAACCACAGTTTGAACAGCAACAACTCACTGACTTTTAAAAGCACAGAGGCAAGGACAACAGTGTGTTGAACTTAAACAGTAGCTAAGCAGTTCTTCTACACATGTAAGCCAAGCTGGGATATATCCCCCACCTCTGCGGGTAAGGCTTTTTCAGCTGGGTTGTTCTGAATATCAGTATAACCTCAATGTGGTTTCAATTATGAATTACCAGACTGAAAAAAGCCTTGATTTATTCTATTTGGCTCCAATTATTCATGATAAGTTTCTATTGAATACTTTGAGAAAGTATTTCATCATGCTTCCCATCCTCAAGTGGTCATAGGGCAAAACCAAAGGAATTAACCCTCTCTGCTTCTCCAGAGACAAGCACAGTGCTTACACTCTGCAGAATCACAAGCCATTTCATGTTTTGATGAAGATTATAAACCCTCCTCAAAAAACATTTTAGCCACAAGACACACAGGAGTTTCTGCCTATTCCTTCTTGACTGATGAAATCTGATGCTGTCAAGAATCGTGAATTTTGTTTGCCAAAACACATCACGTAACTATAACACTACGTTATTCAGCATCTTTTTTTTGTTTAGTTGCTTAAATCTAATCAGCAGTCTGAGCCCTTCTGACAGAATCTATTGGCTGAACACATTCTTAGATATAAAAACTCAGTTTCAGTCTCATTTCTCCAACTCCTTAACTTCAATAATGTGTCAAAGGAATAAATTTGAAGAGAATTATTGAGAACTGAGTTTGTATTTACAGCTGCCATCATACTTAGGCTTTTTGGAATCTCTTCATCAATTTTACTACCATTCTTCTGTAAGAATGAGAGTATAATAACATTATAACCTTAATAAGAATATTCAAAAAATTGGAAAGATAATCAGGAAAAGGAT